AACACATGGGCTTATCTCATCAAGATTGCAATGCTCCTCTTTGGTCAGCAGAGGCGAACGTTAAGCCCTAATATAATCAGCCCTCCACAGTGGGCTCCCTAACCACCTGGTATCAGGCAGATTCCACCAGACATTTCCCATCATGGCTGCAAAGGAGGAGCTGCAGTGGCTTCTCTGTCAGTGATACAGCCCACGGTATTGGTTTCCTGCAGCTACAGTAACAAATCACTTTAAACTAGGTGACCTGAAAGAACACAATGGAGCTGGAGAGATGGCTCAGAGGTTAAGAACACTGGTTGTTTTTGCAGAAGACCCGGGTTTGTACCCCAGCACCCACACGGCAGCTAACAACTGTCCGTAACTCCGGTTCCAGGGGATCCGACAGCCTCTTCTGTCCTCCTCGGGCATTGTACCACATGGGTGCACTTACCTACATGCAGGCAATACATGCATACACATAAAAAAATAGTAATAATAATAATAAAGAACATGATGGTATTCTCTCACAGTTCCAGAAGTCGGAAGTTCAAGGTCAGTTTCATTGGGCCTAAACCAATGTGTGGGCAGGGTTGCACTTTCTCTCAAGCACCAGGGGAGACTCGTTCCTTGGCTGAGGCAGGACAATCAAGAGTTTCAAAGCCTGAACCAGGGAGATGGCTCAGTGGATAAAGGCACTTGCTGCCAAGCCTGACGATCTGAGTTCAATCTTCAGGACCTACATAGTGGAAAGAGAGCACCAACTCCTGCAAGTTCCCCTCTGCTGTGGGTGGTATATACCACACATACACATAACATACACATGGGTTTTAAAAAATATTTATTGATTGATATTTTTGAGACAGGGTCTCCCTGTAACTCCAGCTGGCCTGGAACTTGCTAAGTAGACCAGGCTGGCCTTAAACTCACAGAGATCCTCCTGCCTCTGCCTCCCAAGTACTGGGATTAAAGACTTGCGCCACCACACCCAGCTTATTTATTTTAATTTTGTGTGTATGAGTGTATTGTCTGCATGTACGTAAGTGCACCTGTGTCATGCAGTGCCCATGGAGGTGATAAACAAATGACTAGATGATAGATGATTATAGATAGATGAAAGATAGAAGATAAATGCTAGATAAGTAGATGTAGGTGAGGAATACTGCATTCATGCTGACCATGAATAGACTTTTCTATTATTATCACTCCCTTAACAATACATTATAACAACCATTTACATAACATTTACATTGTATTAGGTATTATAAGGTAGAGGTTATTCAAAGCATGTAGGAAGATATGCATAGGTTATATGGAAATAGTACATTGTGTTATAGAAGAAACTTGAGCATCCACAGGTTTTGGTATCTGTAGTGGATCCTGGAACCAACCCTCATACTCTATTTCCATAAGTAAATAATAGTTAACAAAAAGTTATGGCACAGCCCCAAACCATGCAGAACCACTGAGGATTCAGACCCTTCAGGGATGATATAGGGAACTTTACCTTGTAAAGAATCCTCATTGGCTAAGGGTATGGCTGAGGACAAAGAAAAACAGAAGGGCAGGAGATTAAGGGAATTATAGACACCAGCTATGGCATATTTTCCATAAAGAAATATGCCTTTATAGGAAGAGCAGTTATCACAAAGAAGTCGACCACAGGCTATGCATATTTTCTTCTTTGCTTTGGGTGTGTTGTATATATTAATCTTTTCTCCCTTCCTCTTTTTCCCCTGATTATTTTGTGAACTAAAGTTCCCTTAAAAAGCCACATCCGTCTTAAAGATTCTGCAGATTGTAGAGAGATGGAATGTTGCAGATCAAGAGCCAAGATGATCTTATGCTATCTTTAGTCCCCTTAATAGTCATGTATTACATGTTAGGGTTTGGGTGTAAACTGTCCTCTACCGGCTCATATGTTGGAATACTTGGTCCCCAGAGAGTGGCACTATTTTGGGAAGTTGTGGAATCATTCAGACTTGGGGCCTAACTGGCAGATGTATGAACATAGAACAAGAGCTTGAGAGCTATAAGCCTGCCAAGTTTCCAGCCTGAGGACTTTGGTTCCTGTTCTGACCAGCTATAAGCCACATGCTCCTGCAGCCATGAATTCTGCCAGGTCTTCCCCACCAAGATACACAATACTGCATGAAACCATGAGCCAAAATAAATCCTTCCTCTTTTAAGTCGTTCCATTAGGAACTGTTAAAATGATGAGAAAGATAAAACAATTACCACCCTCTGGGCTGGTGTACCTCCATTGGTAGTGTACTAGCATGCATGAAGCCCTAGGTCCAATCCCCAGTACCTTATAAACCTAATGTAGTAATGCATGCCTGGAGCTGGAAGCAGAAGGATCAGCAAATTCGAGATCATTCTTGGCTATGAGTTTGAGTCCAGCTTGTTGGGGGGGGGGGAGGAGGAGAAGGGAGGGAAGGAGGGAAGCAAAAACAAAAGAGGAAAGAAAGAGAGAGAAAAGAAGGAGGAGGAGGAGGAGGAGCTAGGAGTGGTCTAAAAGGGCTGTCTGCCTGCACAAAAGGGGTTTGCATGTATCCTGAGATAGCTGAGCTGGAAACACCATGTCCCTCTGTTCAGGAGCCCTTGGTACTGGGGATCAGGCCAAAAAAGAAAGAAAGAGAAAGAAAGAAAGAAAGAAAGAAAGAAAGAAAGAAAGAAAGAAAGAAAGAAAGACTCCAATAATCAGTCTCTGCATCTGACCAAATTTCTATTAGGTAAACATTTGGAATGTATTACCTTACAGCTCTGGCTTCCACCGACTCAAGAGTTAAGAAAGACAGCATCTGAACCCTATAGCAGACTTCCCCACTCTGCTGTATCCCATCCACCTGATGCCCCTACCAATATATTTGGCAAATGCATTGATTTATGACTGTCTTTTGTTCTATGACTATAAAAGTTCATGTAACTGTTTCCACAATAAAGATGTCATTCATGGCAACCTGAATCCATATTCCTGAGCCATGGTCACTCATATTTGGCTCAGAATAAAATGTCTCTTATTTCCTTTGCAGCAAGAGCAGTGTTTTATGTGGACAATTTTCTGTAAGACTATAACTTGAATTTAGTGTTCAGTTGCATGTAGAATTAAGACTACACTAAAGGATAACACCATATAAACGTGGATTGAGTGGTTAGTTCTTGGACATGGACATTTTTGTTAAAATGTGAGACTTGGGAAGGCTGGAGAGATGTTTCAGCAGTTAAGAGCACTGGCTGCTCTTGCAGAAGACCTGGATTTGGTTCCCAGCACCGATATGGTGGATAACAACTGTCTACAACTCCAGTTCCAGGGGATCTGACCCCCTCTTCTGGTTTCTGTAGGCATTTCACAATACAAGTGCACTTACCTACAAACAGGCAAACACTCATACATATAAAATAAAAATAAAGTTTCTAAAAAGTATGAGACTTGACTAGGTATGGTGGTGCACACCTTTAATCCCAGCTCTCAGGAGTTAGAGGCAGGCAGATTTCTGTGAGTTTGAGGCCAGCCTAGTCTACAGAGTGAGGTCAAGGGCAGCCAGGGCTACACAGTGTTTCAAAAACAAAAAAGTGAGACTTGGAGGCTGGAGAGCTGGCTCAGTGGTTAAGAGCTCATACTGCTCTTTCAGAGGCCAAAGTTCAGGTCCCAGCACCCATGTCAGGTGACTTACTACAGCCTGTAACTCCAGCTCCAGGGGATCCAAGACCTCTAACCTCCTTGGGTACCTGCACTCATGTGCACATACCTATACACAGATATATACATATACATAATTTAAAATAATAAAAATAAGTCTTTTAAAAAATGCTGTGGGACTTTGTGTCATCCCCTTTTGGGAGGGGGAATTAGAGGGACCTCATTTGCACAAAGGATAGCTTTGTCTTATTTTGGTAGCAGTTATATTACATGGAAGTCTGATATGCAGAAGTTGATATATATGGCTATCAAATGTTCAAAGGAGTAATCTGTGGTCGTTATTAGGTTTCTAGTGCTTCTGGGATATTACGATTTTAACAAAAAGAAATGCTGAGGAAAGATCAGACGGCAGAGGCGGAGACTCCCTTACTTTACTTCCATCCAAATTAGCCACAGCCATGTGGCAACAGTCCATTTACACTCCTGAATAGGCGTCACTATGTCCCCTACCAGAGTACCTCCTCTATAAATCTCCAGGCTCCAGCACTACGGTCCTTCCTTTCCTCCAGCTTGTAGTCTACACACATGCATGTATGTGTGTATGCATGTATGTGCACCTGTGTGCACCTGTACATGCATGTGTATGATGCACTGGAGACTGAACCCAGGGCTTTGCACATGCTAGGTATGCATCTACCATTAGGCTACATTCCTCAGCACCAAGCTTGTGGGTTTTGATGATCCTAATCAATTCCTCCATTCTTGCAGCTCCAGGAGAGGTTGTGGGTCCTCCAGTGACTTTCTCTAAGGTTCCCTGAACTCTGTTCTTTCCACCCTCCTCCAGCAATGCACCCTACTCCCCCCTATAAATTCTCCTTTGGAAAAACCTGGAGAGGCTGAGGGCAGGAAGGTGGTCTCAAGTTCAAGGCCAGCTATAGGCTATAAATCATGACCCTGTCTCAAAACAAACAATAACAACAAAAAGCCCAAAGAGACAAACAATATCCCCCCATGAAAAAGGCCCCCTACCATTGTTGTTTTCTTGACAAGACAATCAGGAAAATGGTATTTACTTTTCACTGTCATTATGAGAGATCAGCCTGCCTGTTGTCACTGTTTAAATGCCTAAATCTAGTTATGCATAATGCCAAATCTATTCTCCTAGACTTTTTAATTCTCTGGACCAATGTTTCTTTTTTTTTTTTCCTTAAACAATCCAAAGTTGGGTTTTTATTGTTTCAATGATTCCAAATCTCCTTGTCCCCACCCTCAAACCAGGAGCTTTACCCCATGGCCACTAAACAAATCAGACCAACCACCTCCTACTGAAAACTTTAATGAAACCAATAAGTTAATAAGTTAACAAAGTGAGGTACTTGCATATCTGAGAACCAGGTTGGTGGGGGAACCTCAATTGTGGATGGGGGAGGGCTTCTTCCCAAGTCTCCTTTGGTCACAGGGTAATATTCTCCAGCCCCTCCCTGCAGCTGTCTCTGAGGGGATGAGGTGGCTCTTTGGGGACAGTGCAGTACAGATGAAGTGAGCCAGGATAGGCTCCATCCAGGGCATGATGGTACATGCAGAGGGCATGGTATGGCAGAAACTGGGTACCATAGGGCTGAGCAAGATCCAACTTGAGCCCTGGTGTTGGTGCATGCAGGTCCCAGTATGAGATGCAGACAGCTTGGCCTCAGCCCCTTGTTCCCTGGCACCTCCCAGAGGATTGCCATTAGTCCTCCACCCTTTGCCCTTCTCCACCTGCACTGGCTTTGCAGAAGAGTAACAAAAGAGTAGGGATCCCAAACTGGTGCTGGGGCCTGCAGTATTTGGGCACTTATGCCAATATGCAGTGCTGCCAACTGAAGTGAAAGAGTGGGACAGAGGACAGTGCAGGTGAGATCCAGGTGCACAGCTGGTGTAGCGCTAGATGCATTGTGTTCTCTCTGGGAGTTTAAGGGACTAGGAAGGGGGTATGCAGGGCCCAGAGGCGTAGGCCTGAGTTATGTTGTGGGGGGTTATGCCCTTGGGGCAGCCAGAGGACTCCTGGACCTTCCTAAGGAAGGGGATCTAGTAAAGCTCTGAGGCAGGGCCTGTGGGGACCATGGGTTACTCTGAAGTTCCCACTCCTGCCCAGAATGGAGGGAATCCTCTTGGTAGACATCTCCCTGCATGGACAGTCCACTGGCATCAGCTGCAGAGGCCCAAGAGAGAGCAAGTGGCTTTGTGCTCATACCTCCAAGTGCATGTGGTTGTGCGCATCAGTATGTGAGGCTCTCTCTGCTGTGAAATAAAAGGGCCATGCTTGTGTCTCTAGTGACAGAGCACTGTCCACTAGGTCTGAGGAGAATACAAGAACTTGTGCTGACTGTCAAAGGTGTCTGGATCCAAAGAGGGGAGTGGGTATTCAGCAGGAAGAGGGAGCTCCCCGGGATGACACCTGTAGATGGGAAGAAAGGCCCAGGTAAGGCCCTTGGGGGGAGGGGGACAGGAAGAACCAGGCCCCATGCTGGGTGAGTATGGATGATAAGCCAAAGAGTGGAGGAGGGGCATGGCCAAGCAGCCTGAGACCAGCTACTGCTGGGGGCCCATCTCCCAGTGGGGAAGGGCAGAGGGACCCCATGGGGGTCCCCAAAGTTGCATATTTAACATAGTTTGCATATATGGTGCCCATCTGCCTTGTGGCAGGGTCGTCGTGTGCTTTGTGGGTAACTGTGGGGGCACCTTGGGCCCATCCCCAAGCGGGGTGGGACTTGGCAGGAGGGCTTCCCTGCTCTGCTGGAAGGGTGGGCCAGAGACCTCACCTTGCATAGCTGGAAGCTGGGTCAGAGCCCAGAGCCCCAGCGCCCTGCTCCCATTCCGGTCCCTGCCTGGCGGACCACATTGAGCCTTGATGGAGTGAGCAGGGTCCTGGGGGCGCCCAGGGGCCGCCGGGTTGCCGTGGCTGCTGCCCTCTACGTGGCCTGGCATCTAACGCTCCGGGGGCGCTGGTACTCGCAGTGGGTATCTCGCCGACCCCGACAGCTCAATACTGCGTGTGGCCTCTCTCCCGGCCCGGGAGTGAGTTCAAGTAAGAGAGAAGTCCATAGGCCTAAGGGAGCGAGTCCGACCCGCAGGCCGAGGGGCTGACCGAGGCTGTCCGGCCCGAGAAGTCCCTCAGTCCATGTTGGTGCTGACCGAGCGGGAGATGCTGAGCGTCTGTGCCGAGACAGAGATGTCTTCGTGATCCACAGGACTGTGGTAGTCGGAGGTGATGTCGGGGTCGAAGAGCGGCACTTGCACGGTGCCCAGGCTGGCCGAGGTGCCAGAGCGTAGGCAGCGCGAGTAGAAGCCCAGCAGCAGGTCCAGTTTGTGCTCAATGGACTGCACCTGGGGGGCGGGGCGGGGCGGGGCTGGAACCGGGGGTGTGCCTGTGGGAGGGGCTAGTCTGGGTGGGCGGGGCTGGGTGGGAGGCGTGGTTAAGACTGGTTGTAGGTAGAGGGCGGGGTTGGCCCGGCTTCTGCAGGAAACCCAAAAGAAAGCCACAGCCTAGGGCAAAACTGGGGGATTGAGAAATTCAGCTGGAATTTTTTGGAACCAGAAAAAAAGCTGCTGGGATTAAATGGAGTAGGTGGGGCTTAGAGACCACAGCACCCTAGGAGCTGGGCTTAGCAGGAGAAGGCAGGTTTACCCCGGTGAATGGCTTTCTGGGAGACCAGGCTTATTTGTGGAACCAAGCTTGGCCAGGCAGGACAAGCAGAGGCCCTATTAGCGCCTCCAGGGCGCGTGCTCTTGGCTATGGCAGGGCTGCACCCTCTCCTGATCTCGTTCCTGGAGCTCTCAGGAGCTTCACACCGAGGGCATCATCCGGTCCTTACTACACTCACCTGCTTCTCCACCTTGACCACGCGTCCCATCATGCTGATTTCATCCACCACCTCCGTGTCGGAAAGCCCCTTGTCGCCCTTCTCCCGAGTCTTCCGGTCCCCGAGCCCTCGACCCACAATTTGGTCCACCCTGTGGGGAAAGAAACTATCAAAGGGCGGGAAGTCACGATGCTCCTCCCTTCCACAAAAACTCTAAATGGCCTGCTGAAAGGGAAGACAGCCAGCCTGGTAGGAGGAGGCCAGTGCCCTACCTAAGGAGGGCAAGCCTGGGTTTGGAGGGTTCTCTAAATGACAAAGACACCAACCTACACAAGCATAAGTAAAACATGATTAACGGAAGAGAGGTGGGAAAAGATGGGCTGGGAAAGGGAATGTGAGTTACAAGCTAAGTGTTATCCTTTACCTCCAATTCTTTCTTTCTCTCTAAAACCTACTCAAATCAGACTTTCACCCCCACCATTTCACCAAAAACTCCTATCCACAGTGAACTCTATGTTGCCAAACCCAGTGATCAAACCACTCTTCATCTGACATTACTCAATAGCAACAGAGGGCACATCTGATCCTTCACCCCTTCTTCCCACAATACTTCCCTTTTTTCCATCTAGTAGCCCAGGCTGACCTTGAACTCTCTACATAGCCAAGGTTGAACTTCTGATCCTCCTGCTTCTAGCTCCCCTACACCTGCAGCACTGGGATTACAGGCATACAGCACTATGACAGTTTACTTAGTGCTGGAGACAGAACCCAGGGCCTTGTGCACGCTAGGCAAGTACTCTACCAACTGAGCCACATCCCAGCCCTCAATGATTATTTTTTGAGTGAATGAATGAACAGGAAGTGAGAAAGCACGTCACACAGAGGGTATGTGCTGGTGATTTGGAGCTTTTCCTTAATCCTAGGCCTAGAGGACATACAGGATTTTGGAGGCAAGGAGTGGGCACTGAAGACAATTTGCCTCACGTTGCTACTGCGGAGATGGGAAGTTCATGGTTGTTTTAGGCCAGTTACTTCAGGACCAGGAAACAATCATCTTAAAGAAGGCCCATAAGACATGGAGATGGACTGAACTCACATACAGGACTACACTGAGTTTTCATTAGCCTCATAAAAGCCTGCAAACTGCAAGCCAGGGATCTTTTGGTTTGGGTTTGGTTTCCGGTTTCTTTGTTTTTTTGAAGATAAGTCTTATAGCCCAGGCTGGCCTTGAACTTACAAGCTTCCTGCTTCTGCCTCCCCAGTGCTGGGATGGATTATAGATATGAGCCACCAAGCCCAGCAAGCCAGGGGACCTTGCCCTCCTGGCACTAACCTGTAGGGAGTATACACAGCTTGATCACAGCTTGATACTGTCCTTAGTCCTCTCACCTGTGCCAGGGCCCTAACTCCCTGCCCCTCCCTCCCCAAAGTGACACACCCACCGAGTTTGCAGGCTCTTGATCCGGCCCAGCATATCCAGGTGCCCAGCTGAATACTGTTCAATGACATCCTTCACATCATATGGTCGCAGTGTCTCCTTGAATTTCCTTTTGGCTACCAGGAACTTCAGAATCCTGTTAAGGGAGGCAGGGTGATCATCCTGTTCCCACAAGGGATTCTTTTCTAGTTCTCCCTCTGCCCATTTACTACCCTCTTGTCAAGATCCAGTTTATCTCCTGCTTGAACCACCTCAAACAATGTCTTCTGGGTCCCCTAGCCTCCTCACCCAACCACCAGGTTCCCCTTTGCCCTGCACACCCACAAACTGGTTTGGTGTTTTCTCGTGTGCCAGCCTCTGCCAGTTGCATTAACCTAAGAGGCAGGGCACAGACCAGCTAGGTGGGACATGGGGCTTCTGGAACACCGACTACTGATGATGACAGCTTAGGGGGAAAAATGTTACATTCACTCCACACATACTTGGCAACTGTGTGCAGGGCCTTGGGCACCCAAGGGGTGTCCAATCCAATCCCTGGCTTCAGGGATCCCAGGTCTGGGATGGGAGATGGGGAGGACACAGACATTGTGGGGTGACAAGGACAAGGTTCAAAGAATAGAGAAAGAGGGTTGGGAGCCATGAGAAGAGCTTCAATGAGACAAACCTTAAGTGTGGCATTTTACAGCCCAGGGCAGGAGGCAGCTTCTTTTTTGCTCTGGAAGAAGGGAGCTTCCCAGAAACAAAGTGGGAGGTATGAGAGAGATGTAGCTTTGGGAGACAGGATCAAGGATGTGGTAGAAAGGGTCCAATCCTTGGGGTGGTTGACAGTGTGATGATACTGGATGAGCCATGAGGAGAGGGTTGGACGGAACTGTGCAGAGCAGGCACTGGGATGGGAAGGAGCCATCATTCTGCTTTAGCATGCCTGCTCTGCCAGCCTCTATGGGACCTGGCATGACAAAGTCTAAGCAGGAAGACCTGTTTCAGGGGATGGGCCTGAGCTGGGAGAGGACAGTGGGATGGAGCTTGGAGACAGCTTTGAGCAACTAAGAGGTGGGATGAAAGGCTTTTGCATCCACTCCAAGTTGACTCCTATGGCTAGGGACAGGGTAGGTGGTGGTGTCACTGCCTGACGGGAGGTGGGAGGAGGAGGTTTGGGGCACACTAGGTGTGAGGGGGCTGTAGGGTGGCCAAGGAGAGCTGGTCTGGCCCTCATAGCTCATAGCTCTGGTGGTCACAGAAAGGAAGAAACAGGATATGAGGAGGCCCTGGGGGAGGATCACAATGGTTGATCTCAAAAAGAACATAGGAAAGAGGCAGTGGGCAGGTACTTGAGCCAGGGCAGAGAGTCAGTCAGTTCCTTCAGGGCCTACTACAGGGAAAGAGTCAATTGAGCACAAGCTGCAGGCTGGAAATGGACCCAGCCAGGACTCTTTGCCAGGGAGCTGGGGCCAGATCCGCACTAGGCATGAATGCAGGGTACAGGAGACTGGTCCCCACTTAACTGTCATAGCAGACAGTCTATCAGGGCTTTCAAACTTTTTTGAGCAAGACCTAATATAAAAAATACATTTATCCTACAAGCCAGTGTGCATGCACACACAGAGAACTTAAATACAAATTTGTTTTGTATTTTGTTTTATGAAGCAGAGTCTCGTGTAGCCCAGGGTGGCCTTAAACTGTAGCTAAGAATGACCCTGATTTCCCAATCCTCCTGGTTCTATCTCCCAAGTGCTAGGATTATAGGCCCACTAATACCCAGCTGCTGTCAATGCCACTGCTGCAGCTTCTTTTAATTTATCTTTATTTTTTGGTCTTTTTGAGACAGGGTCTCACTGTACATCCAGCTGGCCTGGAACTCACTATGTTGACTTGGCTGGCCTTGATCTCACACAGATCCAAGGCCTGTCTCTGCCTCCCGAGTGCTGGAATTAAAGGCATGCACCCCTCATGTCTGGCTGTTGCTTCTCCTTCCTCCTCTTCTTCCTCCTCCTCTTCTTTCTCCTCCTCCTTTTTTTAATGCTAAACCATGGCTAATTTGGTTTCACTAAGTTCATTTTAAATCATCTGAACCCATCTCAACCCATCTCTGCTCTTGAAGAAGTCCTGGGGCGGACAGAGACAAGACACAAAGGAGAAAGAGTTTGAGATGCAGAGACAAAAAGAGCCTGGAGACTGAGACACAGAGATACAGGAGAAAAACAGATGTAGATAGAGACCCCAGCAGAGGCTGGTAGGTGCCTCCAATACAGCTAGGGAGAAGAAGGGAAGAGGCTGCCATGAAGTGGGACAAGGAGAAAGGGGAAGGAGAAGTGGAGGGCAGGGCAGGAGTCACCGGGAGGATAGTTTGTGTGTGAGGACAGAGACCATGACCGGCAGCTAGCTGTGCCTCCAGCCACTGAAGCCAGGCTCTCTGGACATGATGTGTAGGAGCAAAAGATGTAGGAGCCATATGCCACCTGGCTACTGCTCCTGCACTCCAGGCAGGCAGCAGCTGCTACCCTGGGAGCTGGGCCAGGCCTGGCCATGAGGGCAGGCCCAGATGGGGAGCAGCAATAGCCAGCAGGTGGAAGGGCTGTCACCTTGAGCATCAACCTCACCTGACAGAACGGATGACTGTCTTCACAGCGGGCATGACATCATCTACCGTGAGCTCACACTGGTAGCTCTTCTCCTCAGCTACTTCCTCTGGGGGGCCCTCTGAGAAGACAGGAATGGCACATGAGGTCCAAGGGATAGGAGGAGGAGATGCTACTCCCAGCCCCCACCTACATTAGTAACACTGAGGAAGACAGTGACCCAGAAAGTGCCCAAAGCAGGCCAGATGTGGGCTCCCTGACTGCCTCCCCTCGCTGCCCTAACGTGTACTACATGTCCTTCTGCCTCTGTGACTGGGTAGGGCAGACATCTGCCTGGTGACAGATGAGTGGCAGCTGCTTGAGAGGACATTTGGTCTGGCCTGGGGCAAATGTGATGCACACAGGCCTGGAGGATATGCCACTGGTTCCCTCCATGAAGGGAAGAGGGCCCCAGAGGAAAGGCATTTATTTGATGCTCTTTACAGAGTCCTGTCAGAGTCCTTTCTCCAAGCAACGAGGGAAGCTCACACTGGCATCCCTGCCCAGATCTACTATAAGGAAGGCTCTTGAAGCAAAGTGGGGAAACAACTTCTCTAAGGCTGGTGTCCTGTGATTCAAAAGGATGATGTTCTCCTTATCAATCCCCGCCCCCCGAGGAGGAAGGAGGGCCCAGGCATCAGTCAGCCTCAGGTTCCCACGGGTCAGTATCTCCCAAAGGCTGGTTTGTGATGTTCTGCAACTCTCCAGGCAGAAGCAGTGAGATGGCCCCTCCCTCCAAGAACAAAGAGAGCTTCCTATCCCCATCCTCCATCTCCTTCATTCACCCCTTCTTTCTCTACCCAGAGCCAGCAGCATGTCCTACAGTAGTGAGGGGTCTTCCAGGAGACCCCAAAGAACCCTGTCATTTTCCTTAAGATACCGAGGCACAGTACGGAGCAGCTTTTCCCCTAAATCACTCTGGAGAAGTAGAACTCAAAAAGACAATCTTCCTCTAATAGTGGAAAAGAGACCCCCACCAGACTCCCAGCCATGTGGTGGCAGGCTGGGCTCAGTACAAAGGGACAGCAGGGAGTACCAGCTTTGAAGCTGAAGGCCTGCTTCAGGGTAGGAGATCTCCCACTCATGTGCTGAGAGTCTCAATTTCCATGTCTGCAAAGTGGAGGCAAAAACAGGGTCATCGGGAGACGCAAAGGAGACGATCCAGTTGCAGCTGCACAGTCCACATAACTCCTCTCAAAGTGCATTCATGTAATCTGTCTTCTGCTGAGCACTGACTATGAATTCCACTCTTCTGTTCGACTTCCGAGCATCATCTCATTTAATCCTCACAATCTATCTCAGAAATAGATACTATTATTGCCCCCATTTTAGAGATGAGGAAAGTGGGATTCAGAGAGATGTGATCACTTGTCTAAAATAAGTGGCAGAGGGCTGGTGAGATGGCTCATTAGGTAAGGGTGTTTGGTGCCAAAAGCTGATGATCTGAGTTTGATCCCAGGGACCCACAGGGTGGTGGGAGGGAATAAACTCCTTCAGGTTGTCCTCTGACCTCCACTTGCACATGGACACACATGCATGTGCAGATAAATAAATAAATAATCATAATTTTAAAAAATTTAAGCATAAGTGACAGAGTCAGGATTCAAATCCAGGAAGCCTGCTTCCAAATCCTGTGTTCTTACTGCTACCGAATGCCACCCTCTACATTCTCATTTGATTTTCCAACAGTGTGCAGACTGGGTCACAGCAAAGAAAGGATTATGATGCCTATTCTCTAGACTAGAAGACCTGGGCCAGTCCTCATCTCTTCTACCTCCAGCAGATTCAGGGCAGGAGACCTCCAAGGCTTACCCTCAGCAGAGCTGCGGGGCTTGAGTCTCAGAGAGGCCCGGAAGCGGGTGCGGTCATTGAAGCTCCAGCTTTTCTGCACCTTGCTAGGGCTGGAGGCCTCACCCACCTGCTCACTGCTCGGGGAGGTGGGCATTGGTGGAGGTGCCAGGTGCTGCTTGGAAGGACCTGTCCGTCTTTGAGAGCTGCTCATGCGGATGCGGTCTTTGATGCCCATCCGGCTGCTGGCAGGGCAGGGCAGGGCAGGGCAGAGAGAGCGGCAAGTTAGCTGGTGCTGTAGCAGGTGGGTGGGGACAAAGTTGACCCAGCTGACCTAGGGGTTGGCTATTGGGTCTCGATTCTCCACCAAACCAAGATTTCCTGGGGCAGGGTAGAGGTGGCAGGGGAACCCTGATGCCTATAGGAAGCTAGACCAGGTCAGTTAGGGCACATTCCCTCCCCATTCCCACCTCTCATTCCTTCCCACACACCCCCACCCGGACAGATAAGGAGTACACAAGAGACAGATGTCAGAGTGGAGGCAGTGAGAGAAACTGGAAGGAAATCAGAGACAGGAGGACAGTGGGTCCAGGTCCAACCCAGGTGGATGAGTAGAGAGAGAGTGGAGGTGGCAACCCCTGTGAACACAGACACACTGTGGAGCAAGGAGTTCACCTGGCCAGGAACACAGAGGGTGGCTCTGGGCCTCATAGTACACAGGGGTTGGCTGCGTGGAAGCGAGGAAGTGTATGTACACATGTAACTGGGTGCACAGGCACCTGTGTGTCTATACATGTTAATTTATGTTCTCCTCCTTTCCCCGCTACTGGAACTATCTCATCCCACACTGGTCAAGTCAAGCCTTAGGACTTGGCACACCTGTGCAAGTAGTCCACTTCAAACTAAGATCTCTATCATACAGACTTCCATGTGATGGTGCTGTGGAGCTGTGTGATATGATGGAGGTCTAGGGCCCCATGGGTCTGGCTGCTGGGCCTACATAAATGGCCAGGACATGCTGGGTACCTGCTTTCTAGTGACAGTCTATGTGCAATAACCTGTTCTGTGGTTTCCCCTGCCTGAATTCTGCTCTCCAAGACTGATGCACTGCCCATGTGGAGCCCCCTGGAAGGCCTCTTTCTACACTAACTAGTTTAAGCTACACACTTTTGTGCACGTAAACACACATGCATGTCTGGGCATTAGCTTGCACTTCCCTTCCTGTACTCAGCTTCCCATCACATCCCCAAACTTGGAGGAAAGCAGGTAGAAGGAGGCCTCAGGTTCCCTCAGGTAGTTCCTAGTAAACCAAACTGGTAGAGAGATTCTGTGTCCAAGAGGTTAAAGAACCGAGCTACTGCCGTTGGATAGGACCTAGGCAAACATCCTCCACCCCACACCCTACAGTGTCACCACTGTTTCCTCTGAAGGAGGACCCCTGGAAACAGGTTTGAAGGTCTCCATCACAAATGCCTAGGGCCCCCACCCAGGAGAACACGAATCAGTCTCAGACAAGGCCTGAAATGGGGCAGCGATGAAGAAGGAGCTCTGCTCTGGGGGCTTTCGGATCAAGGGTTGAGCAGAAGAGACACTTGGGTCTCACTCTCAGGTGGAAGGCAAGGCCCCTCCATGCCTAGGACATGGGGAAGAAGGCACAAAGGCAGGGTGCTGAGGTAAGGGAGATCTCGAAATCAGAGGCACCTTCGGGAAGGCGGCCTGGATGTAGAGTCATCCTGAGGGGCAGGGCCCCTGCACAGAGGGGAGAGGTTATAGGTCATGGATTGGGACTCTGAGAATATCAGAATGAAATCCAGCATGCTCTTTCCTGGACTGGGATCTCTTTGACAAATCCCAAAGATTCAAACAGAAGCTTGAGGGTGGCTTTCCCAAGCTTGCCTCTGCAGAACCATCGCAGTGGGCTGACCTCATGCTGGCAAGCACCCGAACCCACCCAGCCCATGCGAGGCCACCCTGTCCTCCGCTCCTCCAAGAGGAAGGGAAGGAGAGGAAGCTGGAGAAGCCCTTGCACTTTGGCCCAAGGGCTGGAAGTCCAAATTGCAACACCCAGCACATCAGGCTCCGTGGCATTCAGGGGAAGGGTGGCCTTCCAGGCACACAAGTGTGTGACGAGGCTGTTAGGCCTGGTGAACTTTTAGAGGAAGGGGGCTGAGGCTTGCACTAGAAACCTTGAAAAGTCCCTTTCCAGCTCAGATTCTGTGACAGAGGAGGGAGCCTCCAGCCTGGTTTAGGGATTCTGTAACTTTCCAGCCAGTCAGAGGCCTTGGCTCTTCTTTAATGCAAGAAGATACCGCTTTCCCCTGGAGTGGCCCTGGATTCCAGCTCCTTGGGCAGGGCCCAGAAAACGGCTCACATCAGCCTCTCTGGAGCCTGAAAGCTCAAAGAAAATGGAAAGAAACCTGGCACACGGTGGGGACCAAACAGTTCTTTTCTTCCCCAGCTCCTTAAAGCACACAGGGCCCAACTGAACACCTTGGTGCTTTGAGTCCTCTGAGCTACCTCTTGTTGGGTTCCTGTATCTACAGTTTCTATTTTGCAGATTCAGAAAGAGGGAAATGGTTTGCCTGAAATCAGAACAAGTTCCAATCCATTTCCTCTGACTTCAAAAATTCTGCTTTTTTCCAAGGCAAGTGCTTAGTGTGAGAACTGGGACAGTGGTCCTCAACTGAGGGTGACCTTGCCCACTTGACAATGTCTTGAGACATTGCGAGGTGTCATACTCTAAGGGTGCTCTTGGTATATATCCTGGGTAGAAGCCAGAAATTCTGCGAACCATCTCAAGAGGCATGCTATAGGCCCCAGCAAGAGTATCATCTGATTCAAAATGTCAGCAGTTCTGAGGCAGAGAAACAGGGTCCACAAGGTTGCAGATCCCTGGGAGAAGGATGGGTGGGCACGACTGCAGTGTGAGTGTGGGGGGTGGTGATAGGACAGGGGAGAGGTTTGCACCACTCCTCTCCAACTGCCCTGAAGGATCCAGCCAATCCTTGCACTCATAACCACAGGGAATTTCTGCCCACCGGAGCCCAGGCTGGGGAAGGTGGGTCAGACACCCGCCCCTGTGCTGCATGCAGCCCCTCTTCAGGAACTAAGGGAAATACCTCACCACTGGCTTCTCTGCCTTGGCCTTGCCCTTGGGTCCTTCCTTCCCTCAAAGCTAGGCTTGCAGAGGGGTGGGTCTATCCCAGTCTCTTTGGTGCCACCTTCAGGGTATTCCTGTTTCCTACAGACACATCCCCAAGCTTTTTGTTTTGTTTTTCTTTTTTCAGAGGCAGGCATAAAACCCAAGAGGTCTACCATAAAGCTACATCACTAGCTTCCAAACTACTTTTTTTTAGACAGTCTCCCTATAGGCCTAGGATGACCTAGAACTCACTATGTAGACCAGGCTGCCCTCTATCTCACAAGAGATCCACCTGCCTCTGCCTCCTGAGTGCTGGGATTAAAGGTGTATACCACCACACCGTGCCCAAACTTCTTTAAAGTGAGATTTATTTATTTATTTATTTTAGAGACAGGGTCTCATATAGCCCAGGCTGGCCTGGAACTTGATATATAGCCAAGAATAATCTTGAACTTCTGATCCTCCTGCCTCCACCTTCTGAGTTCTGGGATTTCAGGCATGCACCACCACACTCATTTTATGCAGTGCTGGAAAGTGAATCCAGGGCCTTATGTACACTAGGCAAGCACTCTACCAACTGAGCTATATCCTCAGTCTCCAAAGTAAGATCTTAACAGCCAAGCATACTAAATTGAAGCGGACACATATTGGAACCAAGCACAGCTTCAGCTGAAGCAAATCCTATTATCACTTGCATTTCACATCGAAGGAAACTAAGGCACAGAAAGCTAGGTGCTATGCACAAGGACACATGGCTAGATGATGATCTGAACCCACACTTCTAAGAAAGGCTACCTCTCAACATAAACATATAGTCAGGGAGAAAAGAAAAAAGAAAAAGAAAACAAAAATCTTGGGGTGAGTGTCTATAGGAAACAAGGACACCCTGAAGGGTCGCACTGAGGAGACTCTGGGACTCTGTCCTTCAACTCCAACTAAAAGCTATAGTGGCACCTTGGGGAATCAGGGACCCCCAATCCTAGGCTACCTGAATGCCAACAGGATAGGCTTGGGGTTCTTCATGACTCAGTACTACCCCAACCTTGGGTCCAACATGCCACTCTCAGACCAAGCCTCACTGGGCTGCAGACTCATCTCCCACAGCCGTGCTTTTCCTCTTGCCTTCCTGTTAGTTCTGGGTATCTCCCTGGCCTGGGTGCCCTCCCTAACAACCACCTATCCAGGGCTACCTCTGGGATAAGCGTCCAACCCCAGCTCACCAGCCCCTCTGCTTTCCCCTTGCCGCACTGAACCACAAGTACTCTTTGCAACTCTCTGGGGACCATGTTTTATTCATCACCTTTTCCCCAGTGCATAGAGTAGGCCCTGGCACCAGGCAGGTATACAGATGTAGTAGTGATGCAGCTGAAAAAGCTGGGGCTCTGGATTTGGTGAAGGAGGTGCGGGGCACAGCTCCTCCAGGAACCTGTAGGCTTCCCAGGAGGGCAGTGGGAAGCCAGGAAGCTAAATCCAAGGCTGGCAAGGGTTGGAGTGGGAAGAACTGTTAGAGAGCCTCTAGTTCAATCTGCCCACTCCATAGAAGGGAAACAGATCCAGAGAAGGGAAGCAATTTGGCCAAGATCACACAGGGGTCAGTGGCATAGCCAGCACACACCCCCAAGGCTCCTGTGATTGTCCCTTCTGGAACACTCAGCCCAAACCCCAAACCTGGCAGAGGCATCCCCAGGAAGGCAAGGGGCTCATTAGAGCCCCAAGGCAGACAGCAGGCGGCAGGCACATGCACCTTGTCCTTGGCCCATCCTGTCCCCCTCTCCAGCCCCCAAAGAGGGGAGGCAAGGAAGAGTAGGGACAGGAGGAGCAGGCGAGGGGGTACCTCGGTCTCCAGCTGGCGTGGATCCGAAAGAAACTCCGTTTATTACTAAACATCTGGCTGGAAAGTTGAGAACAAGACACAAACAGAGGTTAGTAACAAAGAAAACAGGTGGACAGAACACGGAGAGCTGCCAGGATGGGGCCGGCCTCCTACAGCTAGAGGGAAAGAAGAACCCCCATCCAAGTTACCCTCCGGCCCCATCCCCATGATGCAGAGGTCCTCAGGCTCTGCATAGCATCCCAAGAGCACAGTGAGCCTTCAGAACTCAGGGTCTCTTCTCCAGAGCCCAAGTCCTCGGGTGGGAAAAGAGGTCCTGTCATTTGCATTTTGAACACATGTCCCATGGGATGTGGATGCAAGCAGTCAGGAAACCAGGCTTTGGGAAACTCATCCCAAAACTCTTGGAGGGAAGGTGTGGCTCTAGGGATGCCGTTTCCCAGGAAGTCCTGCTCCTTGGATCCCTACTTCCTGAACATGCTCAGTATGATCCATCCCCAAGCTTCATGTGACCAAAGAGGGTGGGGGAGTGGAGGAGGAGGGTTTACACGTATGTGTATGTGTGTGTGTGTGTGTGTGTGTGTGTGTGTACATGTGTGTTTGGGAGTGTCCTAGCAGAAGTCAGGCTCTATCCCTAGGGCCCAGACAGCAAAGATTAAGGACATGGTCACTTGGCCTGAGCCTGGTAACAAATTCAGAAGTCACAGCTCAACCCCCCTGGGGTTCCTGAGAATAAGAGTCACTTCACAGACACACAGACATGCCAGGGCAGACAGACGCAGTGTTAGTGATGCCAGGCTTTCAGCAGTAGTTTGCTCCTGGGGCCTCAGAGCAGCCAGGAACCCACAGTCACTGAGGGACACAGGCTTCAGGCTCCCTTCCATCCCTAGTGTCTACTGATTCAGGTGAAGGGAAATCATGGCGAACTGGAACCTCAGAGTCCATATCTGGCACTCCTCGGGGTTGAAAGAATGCCAAACTTTGTGAGTTTCTGCCTATAAGCTGTGGTTTGGAGGGCACAGGACCTGCAGGCAGTGACGGGAAACTCAAGTGGGGTGACACCATGAGCTTCTCTTCCAGGGAGCTCCCAGCCTAGTCCCAGTCACGCTTCCTTTCTCTCCAGCTCCAGACCTAAAGGGGTCTTCTCTACCTACCCACTTCTTGTCTAGTCCTTGGTCCCGAAGTGCCCTCACTGAGAGCAGGGAAGGGATATTCTCACTGCTCCAGGCCTCTTCAGCCCAGTAACAGAGAACTCAGGATCCCTGACCAGCCTGAATAGCGCCAATTTTCTGCTAGGAGCAGGGTGGTTTAATGGCTTTCTCCACAACATACCGCATAGGTGGCAGAGGCAAGCTTCTACCACACCTGCCCCTGAATGTGGAGGGCCTGGCCACTTCCCTGATTGACTGCTCTGCACCTGGGGCTTAATGATTCCCCCAGGCTCAAAGCACAGATGTCCACCTGGCTGGCTCAAGAATGATGTGTGAAGATGAAGCAAAGAAACAGGCAAAAGTGGGGTGGTACATGAGGGGACTGATCCTTGACCTCAAATCTAAACCTTCACAGAAGCAACCACTTTCTCCCAAGCCATGAGGATGGGCTTCCCTTATCCCAGTGTGCCTGGAATTACTCCAATTAGGAACACACAGGTGGGGCAAGCATTGTTCTGTCTTGATTCTTCTTTCAAGATGCACAGCTCCATGTCAAGGGAGAGAGAGGGCTGGGGGCGGCAAAGGAGTTCAATAAGGAAGGAGAGAGTCTCAGGGGGACCTCCCACATAGCAAAGCTGCGGACAAGGGCTGCATGAGACAAGAGCATTAGTCGTCACTGGTGTAGTTTATGTAGGTCCTACAGCCATCTTAGCCACAGAGCTCTCTTTCCAGCAGGCATCCGCTTCCCAGGAGGCAAGCTCTCGTTGTCAGCCTCCTAACAACAGCATGCTGAGGGAGGGGGTCCCTGCCCTCACACCCCAGAACAGAACGGCGCCCTCGATTACCTGAGCCGTAAGCACCTGGGGCCAGCGGCCTCCTCCTCTCTCCAGCTTCCCAGGAGGGATGGGGGTGCAGGGATGGAAGAGTGGGGGGATCAGGGGTGTGGAAACAGAGAAAGAAAGAGGACAATGGCATGAATGGAGGAGATGACAGGAAAGGATGGTGCGGAAAACTCTCCCTCTCAGACCCTTGGAGTCCCAGATGACAAAAAGTTGAGTCCAATGTGGCCTCTCCAGAGAGGCCCCTCAGTATGTACCTGGCCATCTGATGACAACTACTCAGGCCTTGTGACGAAGCCAAGGAATCCCCCAAACAGGCCCAGACACCCATGTGGTGGCTGGAGGAGGTCTGAGAGAGGGTGAGACAGAGAATGGAAAAGAAGGAGGAGAAGCAAGAGGAGGTGGTGGCCTCTGGGGGCCCCTACCTTTCCCCAGGGCAGAAGGAAGCACTGCCTGGCCGGTGGCAGGTGGCAACGGGCGGGTAGCGGGAGGGCGCTCCATCAGGTACTGGCGCCCGCCGCACCTCCAGGGGCCGTAGGCCCCCATTGCGGGCCCGTTGTACGTGCTCAAACAAGAGGGCCAGCTCTCTGCAGGAGAGGGCACCATCAGCTGCAGGCAGGGCCCCAGGGATACAACCCACTCCAACCAGTGGGCTCTAAGCTACTGGGCTCAGACCCCATTAAGACTTGATCACCTCTGGGGGTGCTCACAAACACCCCAGGCCAGAACTGGCAGTGTTGGAGGATGGGAAAGATTTGCTTGCTTTCTCCCCTTCTACAGAAGTTTCTGGGAAATCCACAGGGGTGCCAGGTATGGTTATGTGGGTTGGGCACAACTTCAAAGCACCCACACAAAGCACAAACGGGAACTCGAATCTAGCTGACTCTGCTCATCAGTGTGAAGCTATGCCTACCGAAAGGCTAGCAGCAGCTCTGAAGTCCTCAGTCTCCCCGTCTACTTGGATTTTTAGAAGACCGAGACCAAGGACAGAGACTGGATAGGGTAGCCTGTTCAGCTTCCCTACCCTGTGGTGTTTATTCCTGCCATGAGGTTCTTGGAGACTGGATTTGGGGCTGTGGCTGTCCCCTAACTCTCCAGGCCATTTCCTATCGCCATAACCAGGAAGGCACCTGCCCCCCACTGGGCCTGAATTTCCAGATCAGGCTCTTTCCCTCTTACCAGAAAGCCCAGACCACCCCATGCAGAGTCTCCCCACCCCAACCTTTCTATGCCAATTTCAAAGCATCCAGCCCTTGCCCTTCCCCTGCCTGGCCTTGATTCCTTAGCACTGCTCCTAGAAAGTGGGCTGCTTTGAACCCAGTTTCTGGCCCTGTTTCTGAGGTAGGAGCTTGCCTCTGGCCGGTAGGAAGATGGGAATGGGAAGGATTGATGCAGGGAGCCCCCTTTCTAGCCCCTGCCTCCAGGTTCTCCCGTGGGAAGTTCGTGGGGCAGGGAGGGAACAGGAGGGGCCAGGTGCAGGTGTGGGAGAGTGGGATCACGCAACAGCTGCTCCTGAAGAACTAATGAGGTAAAGACAGGGGAGAGAAGCGCTGAGCACAGCAGCCCAGCCTAGCACGCACTCCACCACATCCTGCCCGTGGGATTGAGGCAGCCGAGCCGGCTCTGCAGTCTTCATTCCAGCCCCAGGGCCTGGCCAGGCACCTGGCTCCACACACCTTGATGATGCTATTAATAACCCCCCACCCCCCCAATGGAGTCACCCCCATTCAGTCTCAGTCCAGCCTGGGGCCACCAGGGCAGACCCACTGCTGGCCACAGGGATTGCTGCCTGGCACAGTAACAGGGGCCATGCAGTCACATGTGGGGGCTCTGGGGCAGGCACACGTTCCTGTCATGGACTACAGTATGCTAGGTTGGTACTGTCTAACATGCTCCCACTTAGGACTGAGGGGAGATGGCTGTCACTTTTCTGGATGCCATATAGACCGCCAAAACTCCAGGAGTGGGGCTCAGTCTGTGAGGGCAAAGTTGCACCAATACCCTTAGCCCAATGGACACAGAAGAGTAGGGAAGAGGACCCTCCAGGCTCTGAGTTATGCAGGAACACAGAGCCAGCCCTGAATGTTCTCTTGAGAGCTGCCATCTCTCTCAACCCCAGGGGCTTCTGCTCAAGGAGCATTCAACACCAGCCCCCACCTGATCCCATCCCAGAAGCACCTACCTGAAAGATGGAAGGATACTATCATAGTAGTACCAGGTGGCTGTCAAGTAGGCCCGGCTTGTGTCTGTGGAGTACAGGCGCCATGCAGCCTGGAGGCATCAGAGAATGGGGTATCAGAGAGGTTCATAACCTCCCCACCAACGTTCTGCACCTGAGAAAACCTAGTCCCAGACCAGGTGAAGTGATGCCAGGACCATAGGCTAAAGCCCATTTCCAAAGTCACTAGCAGGGCCAGCCAAGAAACCAAGGCCTAGAGAGAAGTGACTTCCCCAGGATGGCCCAGTAAATCAGCACCAGAGCAAGGGGCCTCAGAGAACCAGGTAAGAGCTGGATCTGTGGTCAGGCGGGCATGGGCTTCCAATCTCAGCTCTACCTGATGGATGGGTGTGGAAAGATTAATAAAAGCTTCAGAACCTCAGCTTCCTCCCTGCAGAATGGACTGAATATTGCTGACCTAATGGAGTGTTGTGAGGATGAAATGGACAGATGTCTATTTAATGCCAAGCTCAGCATCTGGCAAACAGTAGGCACTTATGGCCAGGCTCTCTGTTAAACCCTCCTGTTAGCTCCCTTAGCTAGGTATACATTCACTGTGTGTCTGGTTAGTGTCTTTCTTCATAAACTGTGTCTTGGGCACCACTGCATCCTAACTGCCAAGTACAGTATCTGGCACACTCAGGTGTTCTGCAAATGTTTGGGAAACAAATGTTGGCTGGGTAAATAGCTATTGCAAGCTCCAATTCCACTGTATTTTCATCAGCTGCCTATTGCTACCATGGGACTACTCAGGTCAGAGAACATTACCCACCAACCCTTCGGCAGCCATGGTCTCTACAGCAGAAGGAATGAGTGTCAGATGAGAGGAAGGACTGCCCCTCTCTCTCCAGGTAAAGAGATGAGTCTGGGAAGGACTGTGAGTGGAGTGATCCACTGGGGCAGGGAGACATGGCTACTGCTAGATAGAACAAAGCAGAGCTGGGCTCTGGGTGCTCCCCTCCTTTGGTGTCTCTTGTCCTTAAGGGGCTGCCATTGCTAACCTCACCAGCCAGGCGCCTTCTTAAGACAGAAATATTTTTACTTCCTGCTTGCCTAGGTCCCTGGCATGAGCTGGGGAACAGCTGCCAGAGCTGTCTCATTAATTATGGGCACCACAATACCAGCTGTCTCTCAGCACGGACAGTGCCAGCCGCCTGCCCCTACAATGCCCCTTGGGAGGCCAGCTCCCAGGGGACAGTGGCCATTGTGCCCCAAGGGATGCTAAGAAGAAATGGCTGGGCTGGCAGTTAGGGATAGCAGTGAGGGGGAGGGGGGCTCCACCCTGAAGAGAAGAGATAGAGGTGGTTGAGTCAGGCTTGGGCTTGGGGGTCAGAGAGTGACGTGTTGGGGAGCAGGCAGAGGTATGCTATGTCGGTATTCCCCAGCCATTCCCTACAGGGAATTCTCTTGTACACTGAGCAGAAGCCAAGGCAGAGTGCCAGGCTCACAGAAGATCAGAATCCACTCAGACCACCCATTGCACTGGGGGACACTGAGAGCACATGCTCCTGGCTTTCTACCCCCCACTTCTAGCCGCTCCTCCTCTGCTTCCTTGGTTGTTCCTTTCTCAGCAGCTCACTAAATCCTGGTGTTCCTAAAAGCCCCATTCTGGACCATAGGACCATCTTCTTGTCATTTGGATGACTGCTTGAGGACTTAGTGAATGTATCAAGGCACTGGGAGTGGACTGGACTGACAGACAGCTGCCCAGATGAAGGATGGCAGAGCTGAGTCTCCATCAGGAGACTAGGCTTCCCCTCAATTCCCTAGGCAATGGAGTCCCAGGACCAGAGTTGGCTATAGGGTGGCTCTAATGAGTCTGAAACTAGTTATTTCATGTAGGGGTAAGTTTCTGAAAACGCAGTCAGGATCCCAGCTCTGTCTGTAACATGGCAGGTGAACCCAGAAAAGTCACATCTCTGTCTGAGCTTTGAAGTAGAATCATGGGGTTTTGGGGGGGGCGGGGGTCACATAGGCCAGCACACAGGGCTGGCACAACACAGAGTCCCCTGAGCATCGTGTACCTGGATGAGGTTGGCTGCTGGCATCCTCCGCTTCTCAAAGTGCTTCTGTCTATGCTGCTCCTGGACCTTCAAAGCAAAGCCTGAGCCCAGGATGCCCTAGAGGGATAGGGCACGGTTGAAGGGGATATGGGAAGGAGCACAAAAGGCTACTCGAATGTTTCTATACCTGCCCATCTGGGGCACCCCAGGCTGCCCAAGCAAATTTGGGACCAGGCTGATCAGGTCAGCCCCAGCCTCCCTCACCAACCAGCAGAGGAGAACTCACAGCAGGCAGGGCAAAGAAGGAGATGCCCAGCAAGGCGAAGCCAGCAGCCAGAACCCTGCCCAGCCATGTATGTGGCGTCTTGTCGCCATAGCCAATGGTCGTCAGCGTAATCTGGGGATACAAATTTGTTACCCACAGGACTGGGGCAAAGGGGACACCCACAAGAACTTGGGGGTGCAAGCAAGAGGGAAACTGATGACAAGACAAGGTCTCCCTCCCCCACTCCCATAGAGGTTAATCTCAAGGACTTGTCAGTGGGGTTGGGGGGACAATGATGGATCCTGTTCTCAAGCTAGTCAAGGGGTCCAGGTCACAAGGGCTGAGTGAAGGACTGGATGTGGTGGGATGAACAGGTTCAATAGAGCAGGTAGAAGGCTAGCATAGGGGCCTGTCAAGGAATCCTGGCCTTAGTGTGAAGAGACATGGGTCAACCCTGGGTGGGTTAGTCCTAAGCAACCAACCTCGGGAATTTGCCAGGGAGGGTCCCAGGGGAAAAGGCAGCCTGTACAGGCCCTAACGCACCGTCCCCCACCAGAGCGAGTCAGCATAGGAGGAGAAGTCAGAGTTGGCGTCCTTCTCAGCCAGGTAGACAAGGAAGGAGGCGAAGATGAGCACCAGGAACCCAATGTACCAGGCGGTGATCAGCTCCTGAGCACAAGAGGAAGGGCACAAGGAGTCATGCCGGCCTGGAAGGTGATAAAGCTACCCTGCACTTCTCCAGCTGGACTCTATAGGCTTCCTAGCTCCTCTCTTCATGGAGCCCCTGCCTGGCCTTCTCGAAACTCCTAGGGCCAGACCCCAGGCCTGTTCTTAATCCTCCATCTCCCAGACCACTTCGCCCAGCCCCTCTAGCCCCCTTCTCAGATTTCAACCCTGGGGTTCCGTCTAGTTCCTCCCAAGGTACATTTTGCTCCCAGTTCCCACTCTACTGGAGCAGTCCCTCTCTAAACCCAGAGACTTCCAGATGAGACCCCCAAGCTCCAACCACGAAGGCCCTGCCAAAGTCCCGCTCCTTCTGGATCCAACCCTCACAACTGTGTAGGCTCCGCCCCTGCCCACCTCAGCCCACTTTCCCTAACATAGGCCCCGCCCCCTCTCAGACCCCGACTACTAGACCCGGTTCCTGCCCGGCTCCAGTCCCCTCCCTCCACCCCCTCCTAGCCCCAGTGTAGGTCTCGCCTCTCCCAAACTTCGGGTCCACGTTCCCCAGAGTGGGCCCCGCCGCTCCCAGTCTCCGAAGACTAGGCTGGGCTCCCGCCCGCTCCAGTCACCCTTGACCCTGCCTTCTACTCCCGCCCACACTGCTCCCTCACCTTACTGTGCGCGTAGACCACGGAGCCCAGCAACTTCCAGGTGCCCCCGCGGCGGTCCATGCGCACCATGCGCAGGATCTGCAGGAAGCGCATGCTGCGCAACGCAGACGTGGCAAAGATGTTGCCCTGTGTGCCCGCCGCGATCACGGCCACCGAGGCCACGAACACGATGAAGTCTGCAGGGCGGGAGTGTCGAGGTCACCAGCCCACCCTGCGTCAGAACCTGCGGTCGGGGACTCCTGGGACCGTGAGGGGAGAGAGGATTGGGAGGGTCCACTGAGTTCATGAGTAGCCAGGGGTCGGGGCCAGGAAGGGGGTCAAAGTGCCAACCCCGAGGCTTGGGGCTGGACAGAGTAAGAAAGGCCTTGTACCGATGACACAGAAGGGTTTCCTGGCGAAGCGGAAGCGGCCTTGCCATCCTCGGTAGCGGCAGCAGCAGCCAGCCGACCAGACGCGAATGATGTACTCCAAGCCAAAGACCACGATCATCACGAATTCCTGTGGGACCATCGGCCTGAGCTCTGGTCCCCATTTTCAGGGACCAGGACCCAGGTCAGAACCCAACCCAGTCCGAATCCTGGGTTAAACCAGCACCTGCTCAGACCTCTCCACTGAAGGTTCTCCTAGAAAGATTTGAGAGGAATCCAGAAAGTTGGGAACCCCTTCTATGTCCTTCAAGGAGAAGCAGAAGCCTAAGTCTATCCCCATACTCACACTTCTGATACCATAAGCTGCCTGGATTTTCATTCCCCTGCCCTCTAGCCTTCCAGCCATCCCAGATTCCTTGAAAGGGCATAAAGGGTGGCTCTTGGTCAGCAGAGGGCCTTCTGTGGGTTTTTATTTAGTAGGGTGAAGTTAGCAGTTTCTGTCCTGGTATAGGATGGAGCCTACTCACCCAGTCTATACTGGGCTCATCGTTGGGCCTCACAAAGCAGGAGATCATCCTGTACCAGCTATAAAGCCAGGAATTATAGCCAGATCTGGACAGCCACCAGCTCAGGGAACCCAAAGCAGCAGTCTGCTCTCTAATCCATAGGCTTCCTAAGCCTCTCTCCACCTTCAGCCCTCAGCCCAGAGGTGCTACCTCATATGCCACCCTCCCTGGAGGAGGAACTGGCAGGGACTCCAGTACTCACCAAGATGAGGAGACACTCATTGGCAAGTTCCTGGTGCTCTTGAATAGTAGACAGCACGGATAGCACCAGGCAACTGAAGACCAGCAAAAATCTGCAATTGAAGCATGTAGGGAAGGTCAGATGACTGAGGGAACAGGAGAACTGAGGGGCCCCTGGCAGGGGGATGCAGTTAGCTGAGGTGGGAAGCATTATTGGGGGAGAATTCTTTGGAAAGCAGAATCCAAATCAGAGTTCTGTAAAGTCATGGCTCTATGCCAAGCTTCAGCTCAGCCATCTCCCCTACCCTCTCCACTGTATCCTGGCATGGCTGAGGCTCAGAGGGGAGGTTTCCCAGCTGTGTGTGTGCAAGACGGGTACAGTTTTGTCTCGGCTGGCAAGAGAACATACAGACTCAGTGTTTTAAGATTCAAGAAGTGTTCCAGAGGTCAGTGAGAGTTCAGGAGAGATCAATGGCCAAGGGAGAGACTGCCTTCACTGTACATCCAAAACGGCAGGACGTGGCCTCATCTGCAGAAGAGGGACAGATGCTTTGCCTTCATGGACTCTTACAGAATCCATAATGAGACAGCTACAGGACTCAGTGGCAAGAGTGCTTGCTATGTAAGCATAGAGACTTATGTTTGGATTCCCAATACCCATGTAAAAAAGCTGGGTGTGGAAAAAAGGGGAGCTGGAGAGATGGCTCAGCAGTTAAGAGCACTTGCTGTTCTTCCAGAGGACCCAGGTTTGGTTCCCAGCACTCACACAGCAGCCAACAACCATTTGTAACTCTACTTCCAGAGAATCTGATGCCCTCTTCTGGCCTCCATGGGCATTGCATGTGATACAGATGCACTTACATATACACAGATAGGACATTTATACTCATAAAATAAAAATAAATAAAATGTTTTAAATTTTTTAAAAAGCTGGGAAGGGCTCCTCCCAAGCCCATGTGACCCCTGAGTAACAGATCCTCAAACAGCCTTAAGAGTAAAAATAAATTGGTTTATCTGGGCCAACTGTATGGCCTTAAACATCCAAAAGGAAAGTATAACCAAAGATTAAAGGGGCCAATATTTTGAGGGGTGGCCCAAGGGACTCCCAGATAGTAACCCAGCATAGAACTGGGAAAATGAACAGCTGACCCCAATCTTATCTAAAGGAATATTGACAACCAATTGCTGATAGATGGGGAACAGCTGACCTTCCTAAAACAAAGACCTGTAGACAGGCTGACTAGATTCACCAGATGGACAAGTAGTGGGGAGGGGCTGGGGGTGCCGACATCACAGCAGACAGTAGAAGGGATAACAGAGTATAAGGGCTCTAGTGGGGGGAGGGAGGCTATGGGAGGGTGCCATATGGGAAGTGGGTGTACAGTTGAATAAGATGGTTTGGGATGTTCTGTGGATATACACAAAAAAAATCAACAAATTTTAAAAAATGAATTATATTTGAGGAGGAAGCATAAAAAGTTACGTCATGTTAATTAGTAGAGGTGATAAACATTACCGTTGAAATCTACCCAATGACTTTATAGCCATATACAGGTGCCAAGGATCCAAGTGCAACCGACCATGACTAGTAATAATCAGATACATACAGATTAGAGAGGCATGCGCCAACATCTCAGTGTTAGTAGCAAAAACAGCGAGTCTTTCTGCAAGGAACAATATATTCTAAAATGAAATGGAGATCTTTTTTAAAGGTTAAAAA